AGAGCATCGTCCCATACACCAAAAGGTTGCAGTTCAATCCCGGGTCCTGGAACATACAGGAGGCAACTGATGATCAATGTTGTTCTTCTCACATGCTTCCCTCTCTCTCTTCCTCTCCCTTCCTTTCTTTCTAAAATCAACAAAACATTAAAAAAAACACTCACACACAAAAAAACTTTAGAAGCTGAGCCCTGGCCGGTGTGGCTCAGTTGGTTGGGTGTCATCCTGTGTACTAAAAGGTTCGATTCCCGGTCAGGGCACATGCCCAGGTTGTGGGCTCAATCCCCGGTATGAGGTGTGAAGAAGGCAGCTGATAGATGTTTCACTCTCACATCGATGTTTCTCTCTTTCCTTCTCCCTTCCTTTCTCTCTAAAAACCAATTTTAAAAATATCTTCAAAAAAAAACTTTAGAACCTGAAAATATGAAGTAGCCCATTCCCTCTGACCAAATTTCCACAGGTTGTCCAAAACCAAGTCCACACTACAACCTTGCCCAACACCAGGATTTCCCAGACTGCCTCCTGACCTGCTTGAAAGAGCCTCTTGAAAACCCTCAGGAAAGCAGAAGCCAGGAATACACCATGAGTCTAGTCTGCTGGGCCTATCTTCTGGGAGACTGCAGCCATTAATGGACTAATAGCAAAACTGATCTTTCCTTAGACTGCTGGTTTGTTCTTGCTGCTTCACATACATAGACAAAGTAGAACTAAAAAAACTCAAGAAAATCCTAACACCACAGTGAGAATGGGCTGTAGGGAATATAATCCGGGAAAGGCCCATAGTGGCAATCTGTTTAGTAACCTATTTCCTATCCTAGGCATTGAAAACAGTTAGATATTTTGCTATTTTTAATACTTTTCTTTCTTTACAACTTTAAAAACTGTTTTTGTTTTGTTTTGTTTAATCCTCACCTGAGGAGTGAGGATTTTTTCCCCATTAATTTTTAGAGAGAGTGGAAGGGAAGGGGGAGAGGGAGAGAGACAGGGTTGAGAGAAACATCTATATGAGATATATACATGGATTGGTTACCTTTCACACTGTGGGCGGGGATCAAACCTGCAACCCAGGTGCGTGCCCTTGACTGGAATGGAACCCTCGACCATCCAGTGCTGCACAGGCCAACACTCTAACCACTGGGCCAGCCAAGGCTAAAAACTATTTTAATGTGCATATTTCTTCAAGTAAAAAATTATTTAACTATACAACTGATTATTAAATCACAAAGATTTAGAATACATCAGCAGCACAGTTCTGCCACATCATGAAGGCTTAATTTTCAATACATACAAAATCAAGACCAGACAATAGGGCAGGGAAGACATGGGGAGGGGGCAGGAGTGGGGTGAAAGGGCGTCAATGGGGGGTAAAAATAAAAAGGAGACATCTGTAATACTTTCAATAATAAAGATAAATGAAAGGATCAAATATTATTAAAAGAAGTTATTATCATTACTAACCTGAAAAAAAAATCAAGGCCAGATTTACTTACATTATGAGTCTTCGGTTTAAGAACCAGTATTTCCTCCGACTTCTGTCATATCCAATAGGTTCATGTCGAATATATGGTTTGTTTTTTTGGATTTCAGCAACACAGTCAGTCACTCCAGGCACCTTATGTGCTACACAGACTTCACACTGCCATTCATCCTCTGGCACCTCCTCAAGAGGTGGTTTCACACATTCCAAATGGTATACTGCTGAACATGTCTCACAGCAAAGCAAATCCCCAAGTTTGTGACAAACCCTACAATGGTCATCATACTGAATCACCCCTTCAGACATCAATTCCTCACGAGCAATATTTGTGGTAAGAAACTGATCAACTAAGAACTGCAGAACTTTGATTTTGTTCTCTACTGGTCCATAAGGATAGTCCTCTGCTTCTTGGTAAGGAAGCACATGATGGTACTCCTTATCACTCTCACAGTACACCCGCAGCACCTCCGGCCACGTCATTCCATCTATGAAATAGAGCGTGGAATTAACGCTATCTTTCAGATCAGCAGGTCCAAAGGTAGTATTGGAAGTGTCTTCTTCACGCAAAACTGCTTTCAAAAGCACAACGTGCATCTCCGCCATAAGTGTACACTGCTCTTGACTCACTAAAGCTGCGCAGAAGTCCTCAAAGCGAAAAGGAGATAACCTTAATACAGTGCCAAAGTTCCGCAGTACCTCATAAATGGCAATAACGTTCATTATATGCTCATTAGGCACCATTAAATCCTCAGAGGACTTGGGGAATTCAAGGGGTGGGATGTCCTTTTCTTCCAATATTGGAGAACGAGGCCGATGTACTCTTGGTTTTCGCCTACCTGTAAATAAAGAAAAGGTATTAATTACAAATCAATATACCATTTCTACAAACTAAGGGTTTTCCAATTTTTCCTGTTTGGATATATACCCCAAAAATTATATAAGTACACTTTTATTTTTCTAATAACTATCAAGTTAAAATAACACCAAGAAGCAATGATTTAGGTCTAATTTTTAAATCTATAGAAAATCTAAATTCTGAAACTAGATCATTTTTTTATACCATATCCAAGCATAAACTAAAATGGATTAAAGACCTAAATGTAAGAACTGGAACCATAAAACTGAATGAAAATATAGACAATAAACTCTCTGACTTTGGTCTTACTAATATTTTTTCTGCTATTGCTACCTAGGAAAGGGAAATAAAAGGAAAAATAAACAAATGGGACTACATCAAATTAAAAAAGTTTCGCATAGCAAAGGAAACCATCAACAAAATGAAAAGACAACCTAACAATTGGGAGAACATATTTGTCAATGATACATCTGATAAGGGGTCAATATCTAAAATTCATAAAGAACTCATACAACTTTACACGAAAAACCAATCTAGTTAAAAAATGGGCAGATGGGCCCTTGTCATGTAGAGTGTGTTCCCTGATTGGGGAACAAACCTGCAACTTTGGCATATCAGGGAACACACAAGAACCAATGAATGCATAAACAAGTGGAACAATCAACCCTTGTTTCTTTCTCTCTCTCTCCCTTCTTTTCTCACTAAAATCAATTTAAAACAAAAAAAAATTTCAATGGACAGAGGACATTAATAGACACTTCTCCAAAGAGAACATACAAATGCCCAATAGACATATAAAAAGATGCTCGACATCATTATTCATCGGAGAAATGAAAATTAAAACTACCATGAGAGCCTGGCTGGTATAGCTCAGTAGTTGAGTGTTGACCTATGAACCAGGAGATCATGGTTCTATTCCCGATCAGGGCACATGCACTGGGTTGCGGGCTCGATCCCCAGTGTGGGGCATGCAGGAG